TTGTTTTGTGTTGGCACTAATCTTCGCTAAAGCACATATTCACGCAACTTATGATGACATAAACGGTCGCCTAGGCAGCAACGAGGAAGGTAACCTATGAAGCAAGTTTTATTGCAAATGAAATATTCTGGCACTTAAAAATCGTTTGCCCTCGAGTTGCTTTCTTGTTTGATAGAATGCGAAGTAAGACATACGACGGCGTTTCCGGCGGATGAATTAAATAAGCTGGCGGGCTCACTCGGTATTCCTGGAAGAAAGCCGCGACCTGTGGAAACGTGTTTGTAGGTGGGCACGACCGTTAAGGTGCGACCAAGCCGCTAACAATGTTTCTTTTATCGCTCAGTAGAGTAGCAAAACTGCTCGGTATAGTGCGAGCAGTTGTCCATGGATCTAGAGGGGCCAGCAGAGATAAGATTGTGCAGCCGATTGCTTCAACTTTTAGTTCTCGTGAAACGTGTGTCTGTCGGCCGGCAAACTATACCTCGCAGGTGCGAACTTGAAACAAAACAATCAACGTAACTGCGTGCATACCGTCAGTAGCTGCACCGACTCGAGCACGTGATTTCGGAACGTATCGCGCCTTTTTCTAGCCTCAAGGAATGTGAGGCGTCCTTAGAGTCGAAAGACACCGTGCACTACCAAATCGTAACACACACACATACACTCACGAGGCAAAGCGTCCTCGCAAAATTCAACAACGAAGTGCAGCGGTAATAGAAGGGTGAGAGACTCTCCGAAGATACTGCAAGCGTTGGACCGCTTTCACCCGTCTTCGGTCGGAGACCCGGCGACTGCATAACCAGGAGAGGGAGCTCGAGACGTCCCACTCTTGTTCGGGAATGAAAGACATTGTAAGGTGGGCCTTGTTGTCCCCGTGCTTGGGGAACGGAACATTCTGACGGAGTCGGTGAACCGGTGTCACTGCGGCCGGTCGACGTTGCTAGCAGGTGTTTTCGATTGATGCATCGTCACCCGCACGTGCGAGCACGCACGCGCACACAGACACATGGTGGAAGCGTCGGCCCTTCGACCGTCAAACCAACGAAGCTCTGAGCGTAACTTTTGAAAAGCGCGTTCCGCGGGCGGCTAGTTTTCGCTAGTTTTACGAGAAACAAGAATAGGAAAGCGAGCAAGCGAGGCGACCCGACCGACCGGAAGCCTTGACACCCGACCGAGGAATGGATTGGAAAAGCGCCGCCCGCTTCTTTTTTCTAGACGTGGAAGACCGTTTAAGCATCGTAAAAAAATATCCCGTCTCTCGCGCTCACTTCCGTCTGCGGCCGCTCAGCACAAAACGTGCTTACTCTCAGAACACGAGACTCAACAGTGGATCATGGGAGTCTTCAGGCGTTTTCTTCAGTAGAATGCGCCCTTAAGTGCCGAGGCTTTCTTACTTTGACCCCAGACGACTTTCGTGCAGAAACATGGCTGCGTGCAGAAACGGACCTGATGGAACCGCTTTTGAAGTTTTCCGGAATTCTGCTCAAGGTGTTAGAATTTTAAACTTCTTCGTCTCGAAAAAAATAAAAAAAAGGCCTCAACTTTGTTTATTTCATTTCTACGTCAGACCAACAGTTTCACGAACCATAAGCCTAGTTCCAGAGCTTAGACAACGCTCTCCAATTCAGAACCCTGTCCTAATCAGTTAAGTACACCTGGAATCCATTTCAAAACAAATATTTTGCAAGATTTAGTACTGCAGTGGCTGCTAGAATGATACACATGTTGTACTTGTCGGTTCAGTAGCTTCTAAACTTGAAAAAAAACTCATACCAGGAGAGCTTAGTTAAAATTTTAACGTGGAGTTGACTCCGAATTTCGGGCGAGCGCCCCTTTACAGTTTCATCTAACTAACCGTCATTCCGACCTTTATCTGAACTCTTATTAAGACATTAAGGGCGCTTTTAAGATTTACAGTTTGCTTAAAACTAACAGTGAAAGCTACATTAATGCGGACTATGTAGGTGGGTTATACGGCCGGGAGGACATAATATAGGAGCCCATTGTCACAGTAAGTTCAATAATTCACTGAAATATTTTACTGAATTTATAAAGGTAGACATATTTCTAGTTAGAAACGCTATATCACAAATCTTGAGGATTTTTATCAAAGGGGAAACGCAGTAGTACGCTAAAGCTACCGCTCGTAAAACATGCACAAAGCTGGTGGTGCGAAAACTCGTGTGATGAGACGGGAAAACCTACTGGGCACGATAACGTTTAGGAGCACGTACCGCAGAAATTCTGGCGTCGGCGTCAGTGGGACAAAATATCCCATAATGCAACGCGCGCAGCCACGTGTGGCGTCACACGTGACTTTTAAGTCGTGACCCTATCAATACGCTAAACTTGGCGGGTAAATTTTCCGATAACTTTAGCGGAAAGTTTTCCCGCCAAATTTAGCGGAAAATATTCCTGCCAAGCTTAGGAGAAAATGTTCCCGCCAAATTTAGCCGGACATTTTCCCGCCACATTTAGCGGAACATTTGCCACTAAATTTAGCGAGTCGATAGGGTAAAGATGTCACAGTCACGTGTGGCGTCACGCGTCACGTAACATAAAGTCACACGTGCTGTCACGTGAGACGGGACGCTATTGACGAGACCACGCACACACGCTCGCACGGCTTGGGAACAAGCGCAGGTTTCCGTGCTTTGCGAACGGGGCCGAAAAACGCTATCGCGTTCCACTCTTAAAGGCGAAGCTTAAGCGGCCCTCAAGTTTTTTTCACTAATTAGAAAGTTAAATAAATAAGCTTATTGAATTATCGTGCGAGTAGCCCCTAATACAATGTCCCCCTGGTCGAATAACTCACTTGCACAGGTTGCGTCAGTGCTGTTTTCACGGATTTTTAAAAACAAATCTATATAGCCTAAAAACACCTTGCATATAGTTTAAAAGAAAAACACTTTTTTTTTTTAAAAATTTCCTAAACAATTTGACAACTAACGTTGTGATAAATTAACGCAAAAGCGCAGTGTTTCATTGTTTTATGTTTCTATTTCCAGGGGAAATTGGAAGGATTACATGAATCACTTTCTACTGCGCTTCGCTTTTTTCTTTCGGTTTATTTGATCTGGACTTTTTGCTTTCTTTCGAGCGCAAGGCGTTTAAGTTTTATGCGCGTTTTGTGAATTTTCAATTTTTTTCTAAGAAACAATAGCAGATTTAGCCTTACCCTAAATTTAATTGGGGGCGTACTCAAAATAGAATGGCAATCTTTATTTTTTATTAGGCAAGCGAAATGTCGTAGAAACCTGAAAACACGTTGTGTACAGAAAACACCAATAAAACATTAAAGTGACTTTCCTACTGGCGACGGAACAGGAGGGTTCGAGAAAGCAGCAGAAAGTTTTCTTTTATTTAGCATTCTTGTTTACGGCTTACCGTTGCATTGCCTTCGTTATAGTGCCTCCTTAAAAATCAAAAATAAGAAGCGAACGAATGCCAAACTTTTTGGCATCAGACGTTCTCCCTAAAAAGGAAATTAAAAAAAAAACGTTTTAATACGCCAGGGCTGTAGTAATAGGGGGAAGAGCAAATACACCAGCTATTATAATATCCAGCCTTTGCAAGGTTCGAAGCTATTTGCCGTTTCTTTTGCTTAAATGCGCCACTTTTGTTCCTCAGTATAAAAATAGATTTAATAATAGATTGAGAGGGAAAGACGTTTGACCTTTCAGCATTGGCAAGGCCCTGCATATTCCGTTGATAGGTTTGAAACTTCCATTCGGTGTCACCAGCTACCCACCGGCGAGTTCTCAGAGTGAGCACTTTATGCATGGTTTACCTTAACTTTGTAACATTGCCAATCGCATGACACCACCGATTTTAGATTATGGGGCCTTTTCCAGTTCAGTGGAGTAGTAATAGAAGAAACAAAAACGTTTCACGTAAAGTTCGCATGTTTCAGGAAAAGTATACGCTTTCGGGGGTTTGGAACGGAGTCTGTATAAAGTATTTTGTAACCAGTTACTACTCTTAAGAACGTTGTTTCAGCTCCTAAAGCTCCAACATCGGCGGTTTTAAAACAGTTTAATACGTGATTACTACTTGGTAACTCACAAGAAAAAATAAATATGACAGAGCTAACATGCGGAAGTTATATATAATGTTTTAAGCTCACAGAGAGGCTCACTCGCACCCAATTTCTCTGGTGTTTTCATAACGCGATTATCGGTCTATGTTCAACATTTTGTCATGGATTTTTTTATACAAGTCATGGCCCATTACTGAATAGATCCATTTTCAATCCTTCTATCGCCTGATGAGGGATGGTAAATGGTGTTGAGCTGTCGCTTCTCATCAAGTGCCCAGGGGGCTGTTCTGCAAAGACACTGCTCTCTTCTACTGTTTTCTTAGCAAATGCCTCCAGTGAACCAATTAACTATATCCTAGTTCGAAAATGTGACTGACATTGTTGAGTACAATGATAAATTAGAAAAACAGAAGCGCTCGCACTGCCAGTTATTATCATTCGGAAATTCGCACACACAAATGTGTTTTTGATAATCTTTTTGAAAGTCTATTACATGTGTAGAGTTGTTATACGCAATATCTTGTACTAGGATGGAAATATTTAGCATTAACATAAGAAAGTGATGCTTGTTTTCTCTCAAAGTATCAAATTTGCAACCACGCAGTTTTGATAGATCTCAACGTCACAACCTACTGTCAGGAAGAGGACAGCATTCTCATAATTTTAAATTAATCTATATTCTCCAAAATAAACTGAAAGGCGATCAAGCTAAATAACGCCGAGATGTGAAACTGTTGGTCCAAGAAGCCGCCGAAAGCCGAGGAGGTACAAGAATGGGGTACCGGAAACTTGGCTAACGAAGAGCTATAGTAACAAGAGGCCAATGGCCTACAGCATCACTAACAGGTCCTAGCATAAACGACCGGAAAGGCTCGGGTTCTGAACAATCAACAGTGGGCCAATCAGGTGCAAACGATGAAACTTTACAGGATGTTACTCCTGGGTATGCCGCAACTAACGGTTACGTTTTGTGCAAGTCACCTCGCAGTACCCTGTAAAATGTCTTCTTGAATTGCTGGTTAGCCAAGGCATAGCAGAAAGGGTTGATAGGGCTATTGGCGTAGCAGAGGAAGTAGGTGAAATAGAAGAGATGATGATTAACGCAGCCAGTCGGATCTGAGCAGAACCCTTCCACGAGGGCGCATATGTGGTACGGCGTCCAGCAGATAACGAACGCGCCGAGGATGAAGGAGATGGTGCGTAATGCTTTGCGAGCCCGGTTTTCAGACTTGGACTTGTGGCGCTTCTCCTCCCTCCGCTTCTTGTCCATCCTCCTACTGAAGGAAGACACGAGGCCCTTGCTCCTGCCAGACCTGGCGGTGGAGCACTCACGGGAAAGAGTCGACTCGGTCTCGATGAGCGAACGCGCCTCCTCCGGGTTTAACACTCGCGTCACCGTACCTCCACTCTCGCAAGACTGGGACTCCACGATGATGTTTTTTGTACGGCTGCTCACTCTAAGCAGCGATGCTCCCAGACTCTCCGACAAATGGTCCGCCCGCGGGGCGTTCTGGGACGCAGACACAGAGGGAGACACACTGCTTTTGGGTTTGGCTTCCGAGGCCTTTGGAACCGGAAAAACTGCTACAACGTCCGCGATCGGGGCACATGTAGCGACGTTAGTAGTACGGAGGTCAGTCAGCGGGGAGGTTACGCTGCCCCGACTAGCTACGGAAGGCATGGAAGGCAATGACGGGAGTGAAAAGTTGGTGCTCACTGGTGTACCTACCGCGAAAGAACTCTCTTCGTTGATGCACGGAATGGCGCCCACTCTCGAGTCAGGAGCCACAAAGTCCGACTTGATGTTAAGGGTGCAAGGCGGCGCCGGTTTGCTCGACGTCGGCAGTGGCTTTAGTGGTTCTGTCGGAGAAGGGAGATTTAATTCGCTAGTCGGCGGAGTGAGCGGTGTCATCACATTCTCTGTATCCAATAGACTGAGCTCAGCGATCGCAGCTTGGTCTTGTAGGCTCTGCTGGGAAGTCGTCTTGGGCTGTTCAGTTGGACTCTGAGGCGATTTGTGTGTGCTGGAAGACCTGTCGTGCTTAGAGATCTTTGAGTGACCATCCTGTAGACTTTCCGCTAGCGGCAGAGCACAAAGCATATGCTTCGCCAATTCTGACGTGCGGTTCGTGGCAAACGGAGGTGGCTCGATCCTGAGTAGAGTGGCCTCCACGATTGACATCCTGGCGTCGCTTGCTTTTGAGGCTCGCTTGGCCATCTTTAAATCTGACTTGGCCTTGTGCGGCTTGGGCTTTCGGGGCTTTTCAGGCTTCAGCTGTCTCGAATCCTGCGAGTATTCTTCGTCCGACTCGAATACAGGGCTGCTTGATCGGTCCTGGTCTGAGTTTTCTTTGCCTTTGTCCGAAAAACTGGTTGTCTCCGTGTTGCGGTTGGAGGACGTCTTCTGGCTAGAGCTTGAATCTCCGCTGCCTAGCTGGGTGGGAAGCTGATGGTCAGCCCGCGCGGCCGGAAGCTGGGCAGCTACTGTAGCGGCCACGAGCTCGGTCAGTTTTGGCTTATCGCCCGCAGGCCTGGAGATACCGGCTCCTGGTCTAGAAAGCGCGCCTCCCCGCCCCATGGACACGAGAGACTGCATCTTTTTCTGCCTGGCGGCCGATTTTTTCTGCATGTCGCTGGCAGTTTTGTAGATTCCGCCGTAGAGGATGAAAAGCACCACCAGGGTAGCGTAAAAGTAGCCGAAAATGAGCGAGGTGTTAAACACCGGATCCTTGAGAAACTGAACTGCGCACTCACCCGGGTCCAGGTCCCGGTAGCCGATGAAATGCTCCCAACCCATGATGCTAATAAAAAACACGAGGAACGGAACAATCCACGTAATGGCCACCATCCAGATAACCTTATCGCGAGTTCTCCAATTGCGGTACTTGGTGGCAATCTTGACGGAGCAGTAGCGGTCGATGGTGATCAACAGCACCGTGTAGATGGACACGAGGCAGACGGTGTGGTCGGTGGCTAGCCAGAGGTCGCACGGGATAGGGCCCAGTTCCCAGCGGCCCACGAGCACGTAGAAGGCGTAGAAGGGCATGGACACGACCCCAATAAACAGGTCGGACATGGCCAGAGAGGCAATGAAGTAGTTACTGGGCTGTCGGATCGTCCGTTCCACCACGAACGCCGCCAGCACCAGGATGTTGCCGCCAACGGTGAGAATGATGCAGATGCCTATCAACACTCCTATCACCACCGTCTGCCAGAGGGCGAAGGGCCTCTTCCACTCCTCTGCGCCCAGTGTCAGATTCCCAGGCACACTGGCGTTGCACGACGATGAAAGCGAGGCGTTAAGGCAGAGCAGGGCCAAGGACGTGGCTGCCGTAGGGCTCGCCTCAGTTGCGGTATCCCAGGGCACCACCGTCGTCAGCCTGGACTCGCCGCCGCCCGGGTCCTCGCTGTCAGAGTCTGCCGTCACGGACCACGGGTCCATGGCGCTGCCTCAGGAAGCACACCTGCAGGGAGTTTCGTTAAGTGCCTCTCTCTGAGCTGGAAAGCACTATCGCTTGAGATCGAACCAACCTAATTTTTCAAATAGAAGGAAAAAAAAAAAGAAATTATATGCCTTCAAACACACTTGCATCGGGCACGCCTTATAACGAAAAAAAAATAATTTTATTAATTTGAGGCGTGCTGAATATTGTGAGGCCTTCTAATTAAAACCTAAGTCCCCAAAATGTTACCGCCAGGTACAAATTCACACAGTACTTTAAACAAGTAAAAATTTAAAAAAAGAACATTACGCAGTTTTAGAGTAGATTATTTAATGATAAACTGATATACGGAGATGAAATAACAGAACAACGCAGAGCATTCCATTATTGGATTGTTCAAGGGAAGAAAAGTAGTACTTAAACAGATTAGTGCGTGCGAAGTACCATTTAATGAATGCTGATGATTGTGGCTAGTTCTTGTGGTCACTGGCTCGTTATGAGTTTGTGAATCCAGTGGCAGCTTTTGACTATAAAGTGAGCGCCTAAATTTAAGACAATGTGTTCTGCGGCGCTCTGGAGTTGGTAGGTTCTCATCTACAAAGAATGGGAATCTGTCCTATTAAATTTTCTGTAAATAAACCTCTCGGCAGGTCTTTAAACTCTGCGATATTTCACAATTAGATGTTGTATGGAAGTCCAAGGTTATACTACCATATTAAATTTTTCATCTAATTAGATCATTTGAGTCAATAATTTAACATTGGGTATAGAATTTTTGAACTTGTGCCTTAACAAACCCAGCTTTTTGAAGACTGCCTATGAGGAATAATTGATATAGTTTGTCCAACTTAAGTTTTTTCATTTCTGCTTGCTCCAAGGTACTTGCATTCATCGACCTGAGAAATGAGATTGGCATTTAGCTTTTATTGAAAATTTAATGTTTCCTTTCGTTCGTAACCCGGTGATAAATAGTTTTTTTTTTCAATGTAAACCTTATGTCCCACGTGGAGCACCAGCCTAGATTTTCACTAAGGGTGAAGTTCATTATTCATCGGTAGTCAGGCGAATATATTTATTTAAATAACGCACAGGAATCTGCGAATAAATGTAGAAGTACAGATGGGTGGACGGTAAATGCAATATCATTCATACAAACCAGAAATAGCAAAGTTCCACGGACACTTCTCTGTGGAACCCCCTATGTCACTTCCAGCAGTTCTGAGCAGTTTTCCTTGAACTCCACAAATTGGTTGCGATGTTGCAAATACAAACATACACATCTTACAATAAACGAACGGACACCAATACTTTCTAGTTTATTGAATACCTAGCGATATGTAACTAAGTCGAGGGTTTTACTAAAATTAAAAGAAAAATGCATAAACTTGGGCTGCTCCGTCTAGCCCAAACGCAAATTCGTGAATTGTGGAAATAAGCTGGGTAACCGTAGAAAATCATAGTGCGTGAGTACCTTATTTGCGTTCCAAAAATCAATATTTGGTTGAGCGATATTTTCCAATAATTTACAAGCTTGGCATATTAGGTTAACAGGTTGGTAGTTATTAAATGCAGCTCGGTCACTTTTTTAAACAAAAGAACAACACGAGTGATCACGTAAGCCTTTAGCAGAGCACCCCGACGAAGAGACACACGAAAAATGAATGTTAATAATCCCGAGAATACTTGAGCATACCGATGCAAAATTCGTTGTTAATCTTGTCGAAACCACGACAAGTTTTTTTACCTTTAAATCTGAAAACATGAAAAATACTCTCTCGTCAGATATGAAATTGGCATGGAGAAACAATTACCAGATTTTGGTGAGGTTGGGTATGTCGACAGTAATAAAAAAAAAACGATTCAGAGTAAGTGTTGATGTGCTGTGCATTTTCACTGTGGTCAGAAACCAATGCATCATGAACCTTAATAATAGTAGTATAAATAATAATAATAACAATTATTTTTTTTGTGTACAAGAACAAGCTTGTGGTCTTGATGTGGTAGCGCAAGGTTTAAAATCTTAAAAGATACAATTCACATACTTTCACACATGATAGAAAACGGAAATATCGATCGAACTAGTCACGTGAAAGTTGTAAATAAATCACTCAAAGCTAGTTCACACGAGAAAAAACCAACGCTTCTTAGAAAATTAAAGACAAAAACAATTTAGCATAAAATATCCCTAACTTAATTCCATAAAAAAAGAAAAATGAAAAGCTCTATATAATTAAACGTGTCTTGATCATCGAGTTCACAAGTTAGTTTACTGTAGAAAGAGGCCATTTCATATAAAAAAATATAAGCATGGAGACTTTAAATCGTGAAATGAGAGTTGCATTCGAATTAATGCTATAATTTTTCCTTAAAGGGAAACTGAAGTGGTTCTCTATTTGCAAAAAAACACTTCAATGGCCTTCATTCTACCTCCGGGATCAGGAATATCAAGATTATTTTTCAGTTTGGTGCACGGAGGCTTCAGAAATTAATTTTTAAAGTACCGCCGAAGCCCCTTCTTCCCGGGGCGTGACGTCACACTAGGAGCTTTCGGAATCTCTGCTCTCGCGCATCTTCAGCGCCTGTCAAAGATATGCACGCGCGCTCTTGCTATTTTCAAAAAGGTGAGAAAGAGACATCAGGACTGGTGTCAGTGCGGGGAAATATACCTGGCAAGCTTGCCGTTGCACGCGCTGCCCACACGAGCGACACGCGCTTCGCGGCCCGAAGATCCTAGTATGACGTCACGACTGGTCGAATGTTTTTTCGCGTTTTGTCGCTTTTACTTGCATCTTCGGGGAAAAAAGTGATATTCAGATTCACTGGATGAAAATACGCCAGAATTCACCTCTAACTCGTTTTTTTCAAGAAGTGTTTCAGCTTCCCTTTAAAGGAAAGGATAAAACCTTATTTGTTTAATTGGACTTATAATTTTGCCACGGAGAAAATTTTAAAATTGTAAAGGATCATTTTTAAGAAGCTATAGTAAGCGCAATAGAAAGATAATATCCCTTGGTATGCTACATTTTTGTCGTCAGTTCGGTTTTGAATTCTAAAATGGAACGTAGATATCAGCATTTTATTTGGTTTAGACGCCTAATTTCCCGGTTGAGGCGAATAATCGGCCGATTAATCTAAGTATTCTCTTTACCAGTGGGCTTGCGTTTGCTTAGAACAAAATTATCGAGGTAACATCTACAATTGGACTTAAATTTGCTCCAGAGGACAGTCATATCAAAATCTTGAAAGTCACCTAAATTTCTAAAATCTAAACCACTTCCATCACTAGCACGCGAAATGTTTTTTAGTTGTTGTAAAGGTACGTTTGTTTATCTGAGATTAATTTGTCAAAGAGCAGCCACAACATACAAGCTTATAATGAAAAAGGCATCGTTCAGCGGTTAACATGTAGTCATTTATGCAGCGACTAATATAAACAATATCTAAAATTGAGCTAGTAGTACTTTGCTCGCATGTTTCCTTATTCACAACTTGAACTAGGGCCTTGTGAAACAGTATAAAAACAGACTAGGCGTTTTGACAAGAATAAGAAGACGAATGAGACCAGTAAACACCCGGAAGATTGAAGTCAGCAACCACGAGAAGTTCCCAACCACTTGTTCACACCTCTTTGAACAGCCCCACATAACGTCCGAGGGTTCAAGAAGGTTCCTGATTGTCAGATTTAAAACAAAGGCCTATATTTCGGATAGGCCTTAAGTCGGCACTTCCCCGGGCCGCTTCTGGGCAGGGTTCGGAGCCGCCGGGTCAAAGGTACCTCGGCCCAGGCAAGCGTCCGTTCCCTCGTCGCGACGCATGTTTTGGCCGGAGTAGAGGCAGGAGGTGATGTAGTGCAAAGGAAACGTTAACTGGTTTATTTACATATTTACAGTAGCGTCGCTAACTTGTAAGGAGAACGTACCTCAGAGGTAAATAGCACGCGGAGTCGAGAATGTGGGGAACTAATATCTTCCCCAAAAGGGTCCTTATATAATCAAAAGTGTCATTTTGAACCTGTCCGTCGACTGGTCGGTGAAATCACGGCTTCGTCAAGGCACAGGCCCAGTAGGTTGTGGCGTCCCGCTGGTTCGCTGCTTCGATGCCTCGCCTTAGGTTTTCCCCAAAATGAAGCATGGCGGATGCCAACGCATGACTCACGAAGGGCAACTGTCCACCACGCAATCTGAAGACATAATTGCAATGTAGGGCAAAGACAACACAGGAAGGAGACAGAGATAGGAAAGACCGCTACTCATTGTCTCTCTGTCTTTGTCTCCTTCCTGTGTTGTCTTTGCGCTACATTGTAATTATGCAAGACCAACTAGCCCAACCGCTCATTTTAATAATCTGAAGGCAATTTGTAAATGCTTGTGACCGCGGCCAGATTGAAAAGGAGCGTGGGGCACAAAAATGGTTTTCTGAATAACACCTCCTGTTGTGCGATTCCTGGTCGTCTTCGGAAACCTTCGACTCCGATCAAAACATTCTTATGAGATTTCACCTATTGAAGCGAAAGGAAAAAAAATGCGCTACTGTTGTTCATTTATTTTGTTAAATGTATTTTTACCCTTAAAGCGGCTTTTAACGGCGATAATAATCCCTGGAGAAGGGGAAGAAGGGGGAGGAAGGAAACACACAAATCTTCAAACACAACAAGGTGACTGGTACGCGACTGAAAAAAATCCGCCTGGGCCTGGTATTGAACCAGGTACATCTCCGTTTCCAGTAAAGCGCTCTGCGAACCGAGCTAACCAGGAGTGAGACGTCAGCAGAGCACACAAGATTTAACAGATGCCACCAGTCTAACACCAACAAGGATGAATGGCCTACATTTTAAGGTTATCATGATAATGTAATTAAGGCTAAGGTGCAAGTGAGCTGGACAAGAACAAGAATAATAATCCTTGAAGAAGGGTAACAAGGGGGGAAAGGACAAGCAGGAATCTCCAAACACAGCTAGGTGATAGCTGGTACGCGACTGAAAAAAATCATTCTGGTTCAG